TTTGACAGTACACTAGTCCTAATCAATGTCCTTCTCACATTGGATTACTGCTTTGGCTTGACCAATTGGACAACCAGATCTTACTGGCCTTGCTGTATACATAGGAAGAACATATGTGGTAGGTAGGCCAAAAACTAACCCTCAAAATGGCAATAACATTCGCCTGTGGCTCTCCCTATTTTTACATGGCTGTAGAGCAGCTGTTTTGAGCACCTCATCAAAGCTGATCAGAATGAATAAATAAATGTACTTGGTATTTAATTGATTAGTATTTAAACAAAAGAGAGTTGTCTAAAAAAATATGTAACTCACTTCTGGCAATTTCATGACCATGAGACATTCGTCTGGACGTTTTAGAGCCATAATCATTGAAATTTCTTTAGAAGGATTCTTTTGGACTTTGTGAGAGAAGTCTGCCATGGAGGCAATTCCAGGGAGCACTGCAAGAATTCTTGACAAAGACAGAAAAGCCTGGTTTAACGGAACATAATTTAAGGGACATAGGAAGGACATTCTGTATTTAAGAAAACAAACCCCTAGAACAAACTTCATAGTCCCCAATATATCATGTTTAGTCTGTAAAGTAGGTGGATAATATTTAAAGATTGATTTAGCCAAGAGTAGGTATGAGCCTGATTTGCATTTAGCTTTGACATTTATTATTCTATCGCTTGCATGGGTGATGGAGTGGCGGTAAAAATGCATTTATAGGGAATCTTCCTCCAAAATCTAGATTCATCCAGCAAGAGGTTATATAGATAGTTTGAAAACAGCAAATAAAATGGCCAATACTCTTTCCTTCCTTAACCAGTCAAGTTATTTAAAGATAGCTACCTTTGAGAAGGTGTACTTGGTTGAGGAACCAATTCATTCATTCATTTTGATCAGATGTAGTAAAGTTAGCTCTTTTAGTTAATAGAAATAAATGCATAAGTAATGTACATAGAGGAGTACTATACCACATAATTCTGATCTGCCTCCATCGAATACACGTTGACCTTATCAGTGGGTGGGTGGGGGGGGAAATAACTAGCCATTTTTAAAGGCTATTCTCCTTGAAAAATGAGGTAAATGCAAATTTATTCACAGATCAATTTCGAATACTGCCCAGACTTTGATACCAGAACTAGCTTGAAACACAGTTTAGTTTAAAACAAAGCTACCTCTTTGTTGGGAAAGAATCAGGCTCATTTAAGTACACATATACACCTCAGCTGCTGTAGCATACAGCATTAGATCTTCAGAATCATTTACTTACTCATCTATCATATCATTCACTTGCTTAGGAACCCTAGGGTACTTAAATTTTGCCTCAAGAGCTGGCCTTTTAGCAAACACACCAGTCTCTACTTCAAGTGAAACATCGTAGTCTCTGCAATCCTGACCAGCTCTCAGAATTGCCTAAGAAGGAAAGAAATACATCAGATATACTTTTGCTTAACGTCGGTCACCGATATTTTGATTTAATGCTTGTATAGAACCATGTGCATTTGGAAAAGGCTTACCACTGTTTTATGAGGATGGAGCTCCATGTAGGTGAAGCATACCACTGGATTGGCTGGGCGAGCGATGTCTTTCACTGTCACTTTAACTGCAGAGGGACTTTTGAGCACTACAAGCTTATGCCCACGAGGTTGCTTACCAAGATATTCGTAGCGGAAATCAACAACGGCGTATGGCCTCATCTTTAGAGCAGGAAAAAAAAATTCCAAAGGAAGAAATTTATTTAATTGCTGGTCTGGGTTTAACAAGTACATTGTTTTAAAGTGAATTTCATAATTACCACTAAATCCCAAATGTGTTATTAAAGAGGGCCATCGGTTGATGCTTAGCTTACCTAGGACATTCTGGCATCTAGGTAACTTCTGAGAGCTAAATAGCCCACCTGAAAATTTCTCAATTACTGAGCTGTTTAATACAGCCAGATGTTCTTAAACTCCAGACCCTATAAGACAGTGGTGGGATTCAATTTTTTTTACTGCCAGTTCTGTGGGCGTGGCAGGGGAAGGATACTGTAAAACCTCCAGTCAGTATTTGCCGGTTCTCCAAATTACTCAAAATTTCCGCTACCGGTTCTCCAGAACTGGTCAGAACCTGCTGAATACCACCTCTGCTATAAGACTAGATTACCCTGACCAACAAGCTGTAGTCCAACAATTGTAGGATTATAGGTTATTGTCCTTGCTTTCAAAGAATAATGAGGTTTGTTTGTTAGGCTTTTGGGGGGAGATGGGAGGGTTTCTGTCTCTTTAAAGTTGATCCTATGCTACTTGCTTTTTTATTGATGATAACAAGTGCCTGTATATATTATCATTTTTGCACGATATTAGGATCTTATATTTTCACTGTATACATGACATTTCAGTTTGGATTAGCAATAGCAATAGCCCTTAGACTCATATACTGCTTCACGGTGCTTTACAGTCCTCCCTAAGTGGTCTAGAGTCAGCCTATTGCCCCCAACAGTCTGGGTCCTCATTTTACCGACCTCGGAAGGATGGAAGGCTGAGTCAACCTTGAGCCATTCAGAATCGAACTCCTGGAGTGAGCAGTGAGTTAGCCTATAGTACTGCATTCTAACCACTGTGCCACCACGGCTCTATTAAAACCAAGTAGCATATAAGTCTAAAATAATGTATGAATATACAATGGTAACAATAAAATATAAACTACTTAAAATCTCATTATTGCCTTTTGTGTTTCTCATGCTTAAGCCAGATAGTTTTTCCCCCCCCCACAAGATTGATGTTTCCCAATGGAAAGGTATTTGGATACTGACCTCAGAGTGTTTTAAGCTGTTTTCATCAATGATGTCTCCTTTTCTTTTATAGTCCAGCTGAGAGTCAGAATCAGAAGGGCCATCAGATTGTGACTGCAGAAACAAAAGTATTAAAGCAAATTTCAGAACACGCAGCTTCCCTAGAGGAGTTTTAGAGCAGCAGAAGAAAGTCTCACAGTTAGAACAGCCTTCCCTATCCTAATGCCATCCAAAGATGTGCAGAATACACATTTATGAAGGACTAGCTAATTTGTCATGCTGGTAGGGAACTATGGAATTTCTATTCCCAATATCTCCCAAAGGTGCCAGTCTGCACAGAAAAACATTTTTCTGCCTCAGATTAGAAAAGAAACTTCACAGCTGAAAAAATGGTGTGGTGATTTATTTATGTAGGGTTTTTGTTTTGTTTTGTTTTTTTGACAAAGGAAAATAATAATAAATCAATACTTTAAAGAAGTGGGGAGCAAACTGAATGTTGAAATTATTTATCTTTTCTATAATGAATAGCAAAAGATATTGTACTGATAAATGGAGAAAATGGAAACATTTCAAGAATCAGTTACCTTCATTTCAATACATTCTATTTCCACTCCCCCGCACTCCCCCAAAAAAGAAATATACTGCATTGCCACTAACATCCCATCAATAGTTTTCTGGCTTTGTTTAAACTTTCTGTACTCCCATATCTTACCTTCGTTTTCTTCAGAGATCGAAAAGAATATGCATAAAACTGTTTTGGTTTTCCCTTAGGAAAAAATTAAAAAGAACACTCAGAGAAATTTTCACACTGTGATGGTACATAAACTATTAATTTTAAAACAATATGAATAGAAATGCTATTTCTGAAAGTCATGTCCCTGAAGATCCTCTTTGAAGATCAAAATTCACGTCTATTTATTGAATGATTGGTTAAAACAAGGTGGCTAGCCTCATTAATGCTGCTTTTTAAGGCTAAAATAATAGTTTGGGATGCTTTCAAAGTTTCCATATTTGATAGAAAGGCTATTTTTAAAATGAATATTCAGTGATATAACAACAATGCCATCACTATAAGCTTTCCCAAATAACTGATTTATAAGCACTATTATCTCTTACTGAAATTGCATTGTGGGCTAATTCAAAACACCCAATACTGCAGATGACAAGATTACTAAATACCCAATGCTGATTT